TAGATATAACTTACTACATATTTACATAATATGAATGTATACATTTAATATAGTTACATAAGGAACATTAAGAGGTTAAAGGAGCAAAATTGAAATAGTAAAACTTATAAAATTCAAGACTCAGTCTTTCCTTAAAAAATAACAATCAGCTAAGACTAGAAGGAAAGTTATTTAACTTGATGAAGGGTATTTATCAGAAATCCTGTATTGAACATCATACTTAATGATAAAAATATTAGAAGCAGGAACCAGGTAACAGACATTGCTCACTGTCTCGATCAGCCCACATGGACAGTCCTGGTCAGTGCAGTGAGACCACGAGAAGAGAGGAGAGGCAGTGGTGGGAGGGAAGGGGGAACACCGCCACGATCTGCAGGTCAGGTAATTATGCATGAAAATCCAGGTGGATAAACTGGAAAGGTATTAAAAAACTCATTTAAATAGTTTAGTGATTTGATAAAGATAAAAGACATCATAAAGATTTTAAAACAGTGACACATTGGGAAAAAATAATTTATATAATAGAAAACACATCATATCCATGCTTTGTAAACAGCTTCAAATCAATATGAAATGGACAGTTTGAGATTAAAGTAGACAGAGGACAGACAGGTAATTCACAGGAAAAGATGTGCAGGTGACCAGCAGAAAGCCCCGCTCATACTTAAGACACAAGAAACAGCAGCGCCAACAAACCTCAGTTACTCACTCATCGGAGGGCCAGAGCTGAAGGAATGCTAATGTCCAGGGAAGGCGATGGTAGGGAAATGCGGGCGTTCAGGTTGGTGCTGCCCCTGGGAGGGGGGCTTCCCCTGTGCTTCTGGTTTGACTCCGGGGAGAGATCGTGTTGCTGGCGTGATCCTGGGTCAAGTGAGGCCGGAGTTACGTCAGGGGTCCCCGGTGCTCTGGGACTTGGGCCCCAGGAGCTGCAGAAAGCCAGGAGTTGGGTGGAGAGAGCCCTCCCCGTCCTCTGGGCGCTGAACGGTGGCCAGGTGTGTTTGTGGAGGGCGGTTAGTCTCCGCCTACCTGGCTGTGACCCGCCAGAGTGACGGTCAGTCAGGGTCTTCACTAGCATGAGATACACAAGGAGTCAAAACAAAAGCCTCAACGATGTTGTCCCGCGTCGCCCAGAGTCTTGGGCTGAGCACCTCCCAGCGCTCTCACCAGCGGGAGCCCTGGGGCTCCTCGGAGGTGCTCACGTGCTGTTGCAAACCCTCGAGGTGGCATTTGTGCCTTTTCTTCCACATGCTCCTCATCAGTTGGCTTTGCTTTCCGTCCTACCCCAACCCCAGACAGCGGACTCTAGGTGCACAGGGAAGCTTGCCCTCCCCGGGCCCGGTGCTCAGAGGGCGTTGTTGAAGGACCGCTGGAGAGCAGACCTCAGCAGCGGGCGCCCTGAGTGACGTGATGCCTGCCTCTCGAGGGGACACTGACTTCTCTGGCCCTGCCTCAGGGTGCCGTTTGGAAGGAAGTGGGACTGGCGCTCTGGTCATCTGGTGGGGGGGGGGCCTCTGCCCAGCTAGTCACAGGACTCAGGGAAGGGGCTAGCAGCCCCCACCTCCCCTGCCCCTGGGACACCAGCCTATTGCTAAACTCAAGGAGTCGGACCTGACCCAGGCGTGCCACTCCCACTGGGTTCCCCGTTCGCCAGCTAAGCCAACATCTGCTGAG